TGTCCTGGGGCAGCAGTGGGTTAGGGGAAAGAGGCTGTCCTGTAAACCAGTCCAGAACCTAAAGCTGGAAGTGTGAATCTGGAAGCCCACCTGAAAACCCTGGGACTTGCAACTCCCACCCACGGTGAGGTACTCACAGGCACAAGGCATGTGCGGAAAGAACACATCGATGTTGATCTTCAGTTTATCTCCCCGTGACTTGTCCACGTAGAGTTCAGGATGCACCTGGGGCAGCACTACTTTTGTAAGATTTGGCTTCATGCCTCTTTTGCCCCACTCCCATCCCTAAAGATCTTATTCCTAGAAAGTCGAGCCCCGCGGACGTCCTAGGCCCCGCCCCTTACCTCTGTGGTTAGGTAATACTGCAGCTCGGACAGGAACAGTAGCAGCATGAGAAGGCCACTGACAATGGTCACTGCGGGGCAGGGAGCGAGGGTCAGAATGGCCTCTGTTCAGCTCATTCAGCCTCTGGCAGGCCAGATAGAGTGTAGAAGCCCAAGGCAAGTTCCCGGGCACCCCTCTCCCCGAGACCCCGGCCCCGCCACTGCCTACCCGTGGCGCCCCCGCAGGTCTTGACCCGGAAGTCCTCCAGAGTCTTAGGGTAGGCATCGAACTGCTTCAGCTTCCCCAGAGCCTCCATGGGGACCGGCCGGAAAGGGGATGCCAGCCAGCCCGCCCCTGCAGCCTCCCGCTTCCGGCCCGGAGCTTGAGCCACGCCCCCCGCCTCTTCCGCACGCAGGCGCAGCAACGCGCACGCTTGGCTCCACCTCTCGCCCGCGTTCTCACGCTGGTCTCCCACCATGCGGGTGCTTCTTGCATCTTTGTCTGGAACCCGACGGCGGACAAGGGTTCTTTCAGTGGGAGTGGTTCTTTGTGGACTAGGATGCCCGGAGGAGGTCTCTGCGGGGTGGAAACAGTAATAGCAGCGTTCGCTCGCCTAGCTTATGCTAGGAACTGCGCCAAGAGTTTCACATCAGACTCTTGGAACAACTTGAAACAGTGGTTTTCAAAGTGTCCCCAACCAGCAGCCTTATTGTCATCCGAGAACTGGTTAGAAATGCAAATTGTCGGGCCCCACCACAGACTCGAATCAGAAACTCTGGGAGTGGCTCCCAGGTGATTTCTCTGCAGCTACAGTTTGAAAATCACTGCTGTATAAAGTAGGCGTGACCTTTTATCTCCCATTTTCTGTAGGAGGAATTGGCCGGGAGAAGATAGGTAACTTGTTCAGCCAGTTAATGGCAGGGCCTGATTCCAACCTATTTCTTCTGGACCTCAAAGGATTCTGGGAGCCAGGGCCTTTGGGTCGGTTTTACTCAAACAGCATTTCAGTGCTGCTCCTGAGCATGGCTCATCGCAGTGCATGGCTCAAATCATTTCAGTGATGTAAGACCAGAAATTTGATAAGAGGTGGCTCAGGGGACTGTGGGAGTCTACAGGAGAAAGTGACTGACATGCTGGATTAGAGAAGGTTTCCAGGAAGAGAAGGAGGAACACTGGAGCTGGGTGCCTTATGGCACTCTGACTCAGGAGAAGCTGAACAATGCCAGAGTTCCCTTTCTGCCCTCAGGTTGCAATTTGCTAGGGAAGGTGAGAAGGAAAGGACTAACTCATACTAGCTGAAAACTGACAATATACCAACTGCTGTAATCCATTCTATCAGAACAACCCTGGGAGGTAAGTGCTATTTCAAACCCCGTTTTATAGATGAGGAAGCCAAGAGGTGAATTGACTTTGCCCAAATTTGCGCGGGTAATTAATGGGGCAAAGCTGGGATTCAAGGCCTGTTTTTTCTGAATCTGGATCCTGGGTCTTTTCCATGCATTAGCTTCCACCACCAAGTGCGAGAGGCATCTATTCTCAGATCCATGCCCAGAAGCTAAACAGAAATTGTCCTCTCCTCTCTGAACTGTGTTCATTCTGTGTCCATCCATGTTTGACTTCCGAGCCCTCCTTCCTGTGGCTCCAGATTAAATGACTCACTCCTTAAACATATTATTCAAGCTCTTCCTATTTCCCAGGTCTCCCTGGGTTTGGGGAATACCATGATGAATGAAAGTGTGTCATGGGGGCTCAGGGCCCAATGAGGAGAGTTTCTTAGGGACTTCAGTAATACAGAAGGTCAGGAAAGGAACCCCCAAATGAGTGACAT